ATAAGTACTAACGCATAGTAAATAGTCACAAATTTGCATATTAATGAATGAAAAAAATAATAAATTTGAAAATTATAATAGTCGTTTAAAATGGCAAAATTTTAGTGGAGGTCGAAGTTTTGTGGACAGACGCGATGTACCCTTTTTAAACCATATATTCGATAATCGTACAAATCCCATTTTTGTGGGAAGTATCGAGTATCTACTAGCCCGGTCTAGCCTTGGGTTATGGGGCCAGACGGAGCAATTTTGTGTGTGTAATGACTAAGAACTATTCACTCAGGTTTTAATATTGCCATACGGCTTTTACGGACGTATGTCACACAACAGACCTCCACAAGTGAACTAACCAACAGGTCGTATATATATGAAGAAGTCGATCTACCACTGAATAAGGCAGAGTGGCGACCGTCTATTCTGAGTTTAGCGATTGTTGGACTAAGTATATACGCAGAATGCTAGATGGCGCTATCATTTCATGTTCGTGAATTTAGCTGAAGCCATCGTGCCTGGCTATGATTTCACAGTTTCGTGTGTGGTATAACATAGAATTATGTACAAAACGAAATCTGAGATCGAGTATGTCTAGTTATTAGTATGCAGCGTAATAGGTACTCGTAATTAGGTTCATGGGAAAATCGATAAATTTTAATAAAACAATCAAAATATATGAGATTTGTATTATGATTGGGTATCATTAAATTATTAGCTAAAATCTATACCTAAAAAGTAATATTCTATAGGTAATAAGATTTAAGACTAGAGTATTTATAAAACACGTTAATTATGTAACTGAATATTTAATTTTATGATAACGTATCATTTCACTCCAGTGTTGATATTTGTTTTTATCGTAAATTMAGTTTTCGATCACCTAATTCAAAATTAAGGATTTGAGATTTAGAACAGGTATCTTGAAATAGAATGAGTTATAAAATTTAAAATATTTAATGATCACTATAACATGTAAAAGGATGAAATAAGACAAAAAATAAATATTTATGATAGCATGGGTATCTATTATCTACGGCATTTAAAACGGAATTTTTAACTCTTACAAAAGTAGGATTCTAAACGAAGGTGACCTGTCAGCCTTTTATGTTATATGGTATTCTAATATTTAAATAATCTTATGATATTGTTGCTATTAATTTGATATTGATTTTTATTGCTATTAATTTATTTTATTATAAGTAAAACWGTTAGCAAGTTGAATTAATTTTGCTAAAAACATCATATACAGCAAATTATTTTCGATATTATGTGTATAAAGTACAGTAAATAGCAGATTATGGGGACTGATAGATTTCATGACTCTTCGTATAACATTTTTAAATTATAACAAAATAATCATAATTTTGTAATTATSTTTGTTCGAATATCTAATTTCGTCCTTAGTTGAACTTCTAAAAAAATTGTRTTTATATATTTTAGATTTTTTAGTTACACTAATGAATTAGAAAGTTATTTAATATTTTCAATCTTCAACAGCAGTACTTACTTGTTGTCTGAAAAGTATMACTCTTCGTTCCAGTTCATAGGAAAGCATCATAGATTGTTGGTAATGAACGTTGTCGTCATACGTGCCGTGTATAACCATATATTTTTTGCYACGAAGTTTCTCAGCGTGTGTTAATAGACTGGCGTTTTTGTACCCACTCGTGTTGTCTTGAAGCAAGCCCATGTAACGTTCCGTGTATATCGAGTCTAAAAATGGACATTTATATTATATTTAATTTATTAATTACACGAATTCAAATATAATTTAAGCAATTGAATACACGTAGAACGTGACACAAAAACAAAATATCTAAATTAAATAATATACGTATTAATATATTATAATATGTTATATAATTATACCGTAGTATATCCAGTCAGTGACAGGAGCGACGGACAATCCRCATTTGAACACGTTTTTGTTATCTTTAGTCAAAGCCATAGCAGCCGTGTAACCACCATAACTCCAACCCCAAATTGCGGTTTTCGATTTGTCAATGAARGAAAACCGTTCTTGAAGATAACTATCAAAAAATATAATTAAGTTTTTTAGAAATATATTACTCAACCATGCATTGTTTGAAAATTAAAAACAAACGTAACTCTATTATGGCACTGTTTTGTGCATCAGTTCACAACTCACATTTATTGACCGTAAATTAGTCGTAMCTATTTGGGAATCAGTTATTATCGAAATTCAAATCAAATACCCTGCCATTGCCACAGCAGCTGTTAATATAACACTATATACTCATGTAATACATTCGGTTCTGTCTTTTAAAAGTTCGGCTGTGTATCGAGAACTAATGAGGTTATTCAATACAATTTGTCGATGGACTGCAAACGAACTCAAGTTGTTCAATAAAATTTCTCGAAAAGACTACGGACGCAATTTGGCTGTTCATTATAATTTGTGAATTAGACTTAACGACTAACGGGTGCACTTCGGCTGTGAAAAAGGTAAAAACTTTAAACAGGACGACCCTAATAGGATATCCTGAATATTGTATCTGCTATCAATTGAAAAAGGCTAAGCTATTTCAACAATAAGGCGTAGGTAAGTTAAACTAGGGTGGTATATTTAACTTTTTAAGTAAACTTATATTTTTTAACTAATTAATGGCCTCCTTTAGATATTATTGAGGCAAGATTTGATATCTATAATATTTTTCAATATTGAGCTTATAAGATTAGTGGATCCGTCACTTACGTGTTGACCAACAGAGGATACTTGATGTCCGAGCTTTCGTCGACGGCCGGTGGTAGTATTAGTCGGACGCGAGCCTTGAATTCATTACTGATGGGCACGTCGATGAACGACACTCGGGGAAGAGTGATYGGAGATATTAGTTCTTTGAGTTTTTCGTTCGTTTCCCACTCCAAAACCTTTTCACCAGTCTTRAAAAAACATGCATGGAACCATATTACTAAAGAGACGATCATATATTATTGAAAAAATCCAATTTTTAGTTAATTWTTTTTATTAAATTAGTTAAATATGTTTACTATTTTATATAATAATAATTTTATAAAATTGCAATTTTTACGTAAAATCAGTTTTTGACAGAATTTATTTATGTTTTTGGTTATAATTAAAAACTATTAATTATAATATAGTGAGTTGAATTTTCATGAAATATTAATATTTTATCGATAAATATTTCAAAATATTCTTGCCTTTTTTTTTGAAACTTTGTCAAAATTTTTAAGGTTATATAATTATCTAATAATACTGAGATACATAACTAGATATATTTCTTGATTGGCTTAATCTTATTTAAGGTTTCTTAGTAGTAATTTCTCTAAGTAATCATAATATCTTCGTCGTTAGCTTTTATATATGTATAATATTCCTTTATAATTATAATTGTTCATTATTTCATATTAATAGCTAAATCGTCATTATCCATCATGTTTTATAAACCTAGTTATGTCAGGCCCGGAAAAAGGATTTATTAATGGGGAGTGTTTTGAAAATAAAAATTTATAAAATTGATACATCAATGATTTAACAATACTTTAATATAGGTATTCATATTAATTAAACAAATACATGAAAAATTTTTATATGAATACTATAAAATACAAATCATTGTTGTAATAAATTTACAAGTGCCCACACAATTTATATTTTTTTTCAGAAATGGACCACCCCCTTCCCCCCATACTTGAGTAGTTGTTGAGCAATGTCCAATTATAACCTTACTACCTATAGGCTATAGCAGTGGTGCGCAACCTGGGGGTCGCGACCCCTAAGGGGGTCGCGAAATTTTATTAGGGGGTCGCCAGTAATCACCAAATGAAAAAGTTTTATACTATATTACTATGTATATTGTATRWTATTTTATAGTTTTATACAAAGTAAAATTATTTTGTACCGTTGATGGCTGTGTCAATCGTAATATTATGACATGTCATATCTTAATGTTGCGATAACTAGTTCTATTGAACCACGCAGTATATGGGTTATTTTTAAATTGAATTTAATCAGTAATTTTATTTAATCTTACGRTTATTATGAAATAGTCCGATAGTCATGTACGAGTCGTTGAGTTGATCGTATTAATGCTTATAATTTTGTATAGCTTGTAATAATTATTACAAGAAGAAGAATTTATTATTAAAAATAAATTATTTTGGGGGGTCGTGGATCAAAAAAGGTTGCGCACCACTGGGCTATAGCATATGAAAAAAAACACGTATACACTGCCATCAAGACCAAGCAATATAGGTACTTATTTCTGTGAACCTCTTACACTTATATAAATATACTCATTTAACCATATAGTCTTTTGTTAACATAAATAGTATATACGTGGACAGAGAAATCTGTTTGCTCCTCTTCCAGACTCCAGTTCATTAAAAGTAATCTAATCGTGTTCTCATATAATTTTACTAGGGGTAGGATATAAATGCCCCTTCAAAAAATGAATTGTTTATTAATTAAATTCTAATTTTATGTAAAATATATATATATATATATAAATATCATAAAATTAAATGACATTTGCATTACACTTTGATTTAGGAATTTTAATTTTAATATTTATTTAGTTTATACAAAAATAAAATGCCAATTTAATAATACTCATGAAATATGTAACATACCTACGCACCTTCAATAGGTACCTTCGGCATAATACACAAAACAACTATAAGTGTCTGACATTCGGCCACACTCACCAGTGCACCACGATATAATATTATCGCTTGACAAGAAAAATATGTTGTGTGTTTTATGAAATCAGCTAAAATGCAAAATAAATACCCCATAAAATATCAATTTTTAACTACAAAATTAATTTTTAAATTTTAAATTTGATAACATTTGTCAAAATTCAAACTTTGAATTTTATTTTAAAAAATTGCGCCTATGTATTTTTAATATTTTTCAACTACTATTGTTATAATATATCAGAAGCCTTGTATTAAATTTTCACGCTTTTTGGCCGAACAAATAAAATAAAATTGATATTTGTAGAAGAAAAAAAATTAAGAAAAAATTGAAATTCGGCTCACGACTGTCGAACGTATTTACGGCTCACACTAATGATAATTTACTTCACACACACTTCGTAACGAGTATAAGGGTCGGCCGGGTCGGCCGGGTCGGGCCACACATAGCGGTCGAGCCGCAGCGGTTCAACCGCTCAACAAATTTAAATTGTTTTATTTTAAATGCAACCGCCCGATACGCGTTCACACTTACGCGGTTCGACCGCCCAAATGATCAAAACACATTGTTTTGAATTAGTCCGTTCACACAAGTGTCGGTAAAAAAATGTTGGACAACCAAAAAAACATGAAAATTTAATACAAGGCTCCTTATGAGTTGTTTTCATTGTAGCTAAAAAAAAATTAAAAATCGTTAAACACAATTTTTTTTAATAAGCGTTTATAGTTTTTACGAAATCTGTCGAAAACACGAATATTTGCAAGTAATTTAGAAGTTGAAAAATCATAAAAATGTTTGTGTTTATAACTAAGGATTAAAAAAAACAACACTAAGTTTTCTATTAGTTTTCCTTCGAGTAGCTATAGAGAAAACTCGAAKCATCATTATAGGAAAAATTTTAAGTACGTTTGAATTTTAAATTTTTACGAAGTAGCGTAACGATAACGATTTATCCT